CTGCTAAAAATAGAAAGCAAATTGCCCAGCTCATATTTATAAATGAGTTGTAAATCTCAGGCTTGTGGGTACAAATAAATAAATAATCCTGGCATGTGTTCATATAACTTCATTGTATAGGTCTGAGGTATTGTACTCACGGTATGTGACTTTCTGCAGTGGTAAATTGTTGATGGTGTAAATCAACGTAACTTCCCTGAAGCCAAGGCAATATGCTAATTTACTACATCAGCTTAGATCTGGCCCTGCCGAGCCAAGGAGTTACATCAATCAAGCATATGCAGAGTTTATTACACTGGCTGCTTGTAATGCCGCAGATTGGTTTGCGACTGGCCCTGTTGGTACCTAAAGACCTCAGTGGGAAAGATCTGGCACAGTTTCATGGTCTTCTCTGTGTGCTCCTCATCCTGGCAAGGTCCTGTGTCTGGCATCTCTCTAAGGCAAAAGGTCAACAGCTGTCACTTCTGCTGTCCTAGCCCGATGGGCCTCTTCTTGCCGGCCTGTGGAATAGCAAAGGTAAACCCCTTCCTTTAATAAAGCAGTGTTTCGGAGTACAAGCAGGAAAACTCAACGAGTTTGCCATCTCCTGTGGTGGCATAGTCAATGCAGGGCATTATAGTACACATGGTGTTTGTTAATGAATATGGATTTTTAATTGGACGCTTTGATTCTGTTTGTGGCTGCTGGCATAGCCCTATGAAATGAGGGCTGAGGCATGCTGCTGAGGTGGTACTTTGTAAATGACGTTATTTTGTTTTGATAATGGAGAGTTTATTCAAAAGGGAAAAAAGGGAATGTGAAAAAGCGGGTGGCATGCTTAGCCTGATGAAACAACTGGATGGAAGTCATGCTCTGATTGTCTCAGAGAAACTTTGTGTTTTGTAGGAAAATTAAAACAAAAAGAGGGGGGGGAGGAAAAAGAAAAAGGAGGGGGTCAGTCTTGGAGAAGCACATCAGAAACTTGCTGTGACTGCAGTTATAATGCACGCTTGACTCACTTGGAAATGCACGGATCTGAAGGCACTGAACTCCGCTGTGCATTCAGCCATTCTGCCCAGTGCAGATGAAGCTGCCATGTGTGTATAATTACTGTCAAGACAAGTAGAAGTGGCAAACATTTCAAGGCCGTTGCTGCATTGTTTCTAGCACTGCCAAATGTGAAATTGGGTGCTTGCTCCATCTTCGGAAAGTTTTATGAGGGAGGGTCAAAAGAAGGGGTAAAAAGGATCCCTTTGTCAGTCAAGTGAGGGCACAATGAAGAATTTTATTCTTGGACTCTTGGGAAGCACTTTGGCAGAGTTAGGGGCTGCAGATTTAATATCCAAATGCCAGCCCAGTGCATATGGAACGTCACGATTTTTTTTTTTTTTGGTAGAGAGATTTCTTCTTGAATGTTTGATTATGCTCACCACCTGAAGTATTAAGATATGGAAGCTAATCCCAAAGATTCCCCAGGTGCAAGCAGCATCTCCTATACGGAAGAGCAGAATTGAGACTGCCAAGGCCTGGAGAATCAGCCAATAGGGGAATAGATATTGAGTTACAAGCTTTCTTTTTTTTTTGTTCTTCATTTTTTTCTTGAGTTTCATTCAGTTCAGGCTCTGTCTTCCCCTTTAAAGCTCTAAGCTCATTTTTCCTTACTCATTTTTCTACCTGTCTTTGGGCTAGCCAAGTATCTTCCTGACCTCTTTGGCCTGCTCTTGCTGAGGATATATAGCTATGTGTAGTCCAAACACCAGCTGCCTGGGGCCTGGCAGAAGCTCCCTATTACATCCTCCATTTTTTGATTAGGCAAAATACCCCGATGAGAAGCCAGTTGTCTAGCCTTGATACATCAGGGTATACTTGATCCTGTCTATTGGTCTTTTTTTCCTTCACTTTACCCACAGATTAAATCTAAACAAGGATCCATCTCCCCATTTAGAACTGTATTGTTTCTATGTCATCCTTCTTCATATTCCATTATGTAGAATCCATTGACAACTGAATTTTGGACACAAATACCCCATATTCCTGCAGATGTACAAGTATTGTGAACTTGGATACACACCTCTGTCTCCTTACAGCTGTGGAGTGCTTGCAGCAGTAGCCAGACCTCCCCAGAAACAGTAGGCACCTCATCCAGCAGCTAAAAACAAGTGCTGTAATATTTCATACACGGTGCAGCTGCTGAGCTGTAGCTCACTCCCTTAAAAGGCAGACAAAACTCCAGAGGGCCTCTTCATAGAAAGATGGATTAAGAACCTTTTGTTTCTGTTTTGGTCTTTTAAGAGTTATTACGATGCTTCAGGTTAGCCTTTTTAGGAAGTTTTCCTGACAGCTCTTAACTGCTTGTTGTGAAGTTCAGGAACAGAGATGGAGAGTTAGTCACCAGAGAATATATTCGCATGAGTACCCTTTACATCCAAAGGTAGGGCAGTGCTCCCCTCCTCAGGCTGTGATGGCCATCATGAGCATTGATGCTTGTGTCATGTTTGGGGATGAGCGAAAGTAGGGTCTAGAATGAAGAGGGCTCTGTTGTTTTCACTTTGCTCTTATAGACCATTTTCTAACTAACTGGAGTCACGGCTGCTCCTGGAGGGCTTTTATAGTGCAACACAAAACAGTGCGAATTCATCTTGCAGCTTGAACTCATCTCTCATAGGCTGTTCGGATTTGAGGGATTTTTCTGAAGTTGTGCGTTTAGATTCTTTTCTATTCTTAGATATTTCTCATCATTTCTGAGCCCCCTCCCCCTTTCCCCCTGGTATTTTTACTTAAGAAAACGTATGCTCTTTTCTGTTGTCCACATTATACTGTTAAGGCAAGTAAATTATTAAGTCTTACAGATAGGGTCAGATGTGAGATAATGCCATATGTTGCGTGCACAAATATGTGTGTAAAATCTGTACAAGTCCCTACCCTCTAAACACTGGTGATAAGCCAGCTTTCCAAAGGTTTGGATTTTATACAAGATCTGGCAATAGGAGTATTTTTTCCCCCAGTGTTCTTACAGTCTTATTTTCCTTCGTCTGCTAGATTTAATTTTTTTGGTGGGAAATAAGCAATTGTCCCTCACTCCTCATGTGCATGGAAAGTTGTAGGAGACATGTGGTGACTACCATGTTTGAGTTTGTCCTGTTTACTTTGGCTTTCGTCAGCAGTAAGCAATTGCAAGCTTAAGCATGTCTAGATATACGTAAACGTGCACTTTCCCCATAGACTTAGCATGTTCTCTTAGTCATTTGTCACCTAACGCATTTGCCAGTGTGGCATCCACCATGCCATCTAAATGCAAAAATAAAGATTTGTACCCTAAGCATTTTAATATAGTTTGCCAGGCTGGTAGCCCAGAATGGAAGACCCACTGCAAGAGGGGAGGGAGAGGAATCCCACAGCTGCGTTTGCAAATGCTGAGCATCTTGTGCGAAGTGTAATTTGGCCTGAAGCTGACCTTGAAGCTTATGGGCTGAATAGGGAACAGCCATTAAAAAGAAAATATAAGGAAAACAGACACCTGGGACTCTTATCCATAAGAATGGAGAAAAAATGACTTTTCAATCAATCTTTTTTCATTACAGCTGCTTAAATGAATGCTCCCTCTTGCTTCATCTTAAATCAGATGATATGAAATGGAAAACCAGACTACACTGGGCAATGTCTCTTGGTTTTCTGTGAACATTCTTGGTCTGTGTTTTTAATCCCCACCCTCCTGCCAGCAGAGGGCAGGGAAAAAACTCTGAAAGCTTTTGTACAAATTTTGATTCGAAGTTTAAAGAAGGATACAGACTGCCTGACAAGAAGTCTCCCATCAGCTGTCTCAGGAGTCCTGCTGTTGCACAATAACTGACTGGGCTTGTGGGTAACTGAACTTGATCTCTATGTGACTAAGGTGCTCCACATGCTAGGAAGGCTTTTATTCTTGGAGAGATTCCAATACGGCTTCTTAAGTGGTGGCAGTTTTCTAGTTTACTTTATGGAGGCAGTGCCTTCAAATTTGTAGAATTTGATCCTGCAGGATCCCTGGAGAAGTTAATGCGTGAAGTTTCTACAACATGAGTGGGACTTGTTTGTTTTGGTTTGGTTTTGGGGGTTTTTTTTGCTTGTGGGAAAAGCAGTTGTATGTGTGAGAAGAGTAATTTTGAAACTTGTTGCTCCTACTTGGAATTAGACAACCTCTGTCTTTTGTTATGAAGAATGGGAAGAATAAACTGGGGCGGGGGGGGATGGCGGTAAAAGCTGCTTTTCTGTTTCCTTTGCTAAGTGTGTAAATCTTTTGAGCATAAGGCATAAATTATAGTAACTTTGAAAGACAGGACAGGGCATGTCTTAAATGCAAAAGTAAATGCAGCTATTGAAACCTTCACATGTGAAAAGAATGTTTTTTGAAGTAACAGATGTGATGACCTTGCTTAGCTGTTTCCAGGGGATAAATTTCTCCTAAAGAAATGAAACTGAGTTCTGTAGGCATTGGTGTAGGATGCTTTTGGTGACA